TTAATCCTTATAAAAAGCAGTTTTGTGAGAAGCCCTAGAGTTTTACAGATCAAAGCTATGCCGCCATTGGAAGGAGACGCTAAAAAACCAGGCCTTAGCGCATCTTAGTCATACTTTAAACCTATACGTATTTGTAGGTGTGTTTTTCTTCAGTAGTTCAGCATGCTTCATAGCTATAAAACGAAAGCAGTTTTCTTTCTTTTTATTTCATAAAAAACAAAAACTGAGTTAAATTCCATTAGCATTCAAAAGACCAAGTGGAATTTTTGGACGCACTGGAGGATATTCTAGAATAAGAGTTAAGGAGATGGATGAGGTAAATCCTTATTCCCCTTTTTATTTGGCTGCTTTTTCAGATTTCTCCCTTTGCTTCAATTTTCTAATTTTTTAGGCATTTTTCCTCCATTTGGAAAGATTAACTTTTTATTTACCTATCATATCAGTTCTGTAATCAGTTCTTCATCCACAATGAGGTTTTTGTAGCTATGCAATGCAGAAAACGCATACTGACGAGTTGTCTGTGTGTGTACTGTGCGTCCGTACCGATTTCTCATCTAGAGACCCACAAAAGCTACAGGGCTGAAACTTGGGGGACTTAATCTACATGCGTGGCCCCCATCTCCAAAATGGGCGATCTTAACCGTGTGGTACCCACGTACGGGCTCGCCAAAACTTTTTTCGGGCAAGTTGTTAACTCGGGAACCTGAAAAGCTAGAAGGCTGAAATTTTAAGGGAATCTTCCCCGCCCAAGCAGGTATAAATGAGTCCAAGCCCAGCCCTCAGGTACGTGTGGTACCCACGCACGCGCTCACCAAAGTTCTTCTTGGTTAAGTTGCTAACTCGAGAACCTGAAAGTGCTGTAAATGTGTGGTTACCCGTCCTGTTTGAAAAATGTACCTTATTGTTTTATACTACTTTTTTGAACTAAAAACAAAAATCGGTAGACTAATCTCGTCCAAACGTGATTTTAGAAAGAACATATATATTTAAAAATATATGATTTAAAACATATATGATTTTTATCTGATTTAAAAGACGAAAAATTCCGTCACATTTAAAATATTTCTGAAACTGATCATCCCCCGTTCACTCAAGCCAAGCAATTCTAAACACGCAACGCATTTTTACTACTCTTCACAAAGAACGAAGAAAATCAACCTGCAAAAAAGCTTGCGCTATAAATAAATCTTTCTCGTGATTATAACCAAATTTCTGCTGATATTGAACGAGGAATGTCGCAAAACTCTGAAAACAAAACAATTCGGGGCAAAAAAAACCAAGTCTATAAAAACTCTTCTGGCCGCTTGTCGATCCGCAATCGTAAATCGAGGCCAAACACAGACGCAGACGCACACACAAACACACACACATGCATACACACACATACACACACACACACACACACACACACACACATGCAACTCAGGCTCGCTTCTTTCGGCATGCTTTGAGCTATCAGCCACTGTGTCACGACAATAATTCGTTTTTATTCCCATATCAAGCATAGTAAGGGGACGGTACATTAACAACGGATGAAAAGAGAGGAACAAAAAGGAAGGTAAGAGATGAGAATTACAAAATTTGTAAATTAATAGAATTAATTTAATGATAAAAAATGTTTCGGTCCATTAATAGTAGTATACATTTCTTACCATTATCACAACTCCTTATAAACATACTTCTTTGAAAAATCCACGCTCTGGCACATACAATACGTGTCAAGAAAGCACCTAGATAAAAAGCTCTTCAAATGTATGATGTGAAGTGACAAACCTCCATATCGTCCGAATGCATAAAATGATTTCTGGCCACAGCATAATTCCCTTCATGCCACAGCGATTTTGCTATGCGCCTGAAAATCTCTGGTTTTGATGGAAATAAAACTGAGAAGCAAAAAAAATGAAGGCAAATTTCAGGAAATGAAGGAAAATTTTTGCCTGGAGTGCGCACCGATGGAGAGCCGGATGGCCTCGTCGTTGATGAGATCGCTTCTCCGCCACAGCCATTGTCCACTTCAGGGCCAAACTTATATACTGCTTTCTCCGATCCTGCCCGGATCCCGTATCCAAATCTTTTTCCAGTAATGCCGGTAAACGATCGAATAACTTAAAAACAGCAGCTGTTTAAAAATAAGTAGAGGCAAGCCGACAAAGCTCTGACAATAAAAATTTGAAATGAAAATCTCCCAACCACGTGCTACAACAAGGCGAG